AAAAAAAAAAAAAAAGTTCCCTTGGAGACTATTTCCCCTTTTACAAAATAGGATTGATATCCATTCCCTGCATTTTGTTTGTTTTGTGTTGCTAGGGATGGAACTCAGACAGGGTCTTACCTATGCAAGGCAGGTACTCTTGCACTGAGCTGTATCCCCAGCCCACGCATTCCCTACCTTTCACACGAGGATTGGTGAAGATGAACCGAAATGAGGAAAGGAAGGTTATAACATTTGAGTGTGGACTGAATAGAATTCCCTCGTTTAAACTGAGCACAGGAAGGATTTACGGTAGGAACACAGAAACTACATGTTGGATGAATTACTGATGCCGGAATAAAGACCTTACCTCTCCCTTCCTGCGTTGGCCCTTCTGTGTCGTGTAAACCCCACAGGCAGGCCAGCGGAGCCAGCCTTGTGGCCTGAGATAAGGTTTTGGCGCGCGTCTCCCCTATCGCTCCCTCAAGAGGCTGTGGGGATGCGAATGAGGCTGGCGCTGGCGGCGCGCTGTGCGAGAGGACACAGGATGGGCTCCAACTACCCGCGGAGTGTGCGCCGCTGCCTGCCCGCGTGCGTCTTGGGGGTGGAGGTAGTTCTCGTTCTCATCTTCGCCTTTTTTACCTCCTATGACCCTTCTCCAAAGGATCAGAAAATGGTCTTGGGCGCCTATCAAGGTGAGAGCTCCCTGGGGACGCCGTCCCAGAGCTACTGCGGGGGTGAGGGTGGGGGTGAGGGGGCAGGGGAGATCTGTGGTTCTCAAGGGCACCGCTGTTCCTTACCACAGAATTCCCGAGGAAAGGGATTTTCCCTCCTTCTTCCGGAGCTTGCACCAAGACCCAGCCAACAGTGCAGGCAGTCCTTTGGGAGACGCAGGGCATCACCTCTTCTGTGAAGCCTGCTTGAATTTGTCCGCGCTGGGCGAGGACCCTTCTCTCCGGTGTTCCCCAGATTCCCTGTGCCAAGTTGGTCTTAATAATCCTTTGCGTCTCTGCTTCTCCTTCCACTTCTCTCTTTATCTTCAAGCCATTTCCCTTTGCGGGTCGGGGGAGTTTCTCTTGCTCTTTTCTGTACTCCATTGCCCACTCTCCCCCGCCTTCTTCTCAGTTAGGAGCTGGGAAGTCTGCCTTCTGTGTGCAGATGTGAACCAGGACAATGGCTAAGAGGGAGTGTAGGATGGTGGTTATTTCAGGTACAGCTAAAAACATCCCCAGGCTGTGACAAGAACAACTATAGGGACTGGGGATTTAGCTCAGCGGCACAGCGCCTGCCTGGCAAGTGCAAAGTCATGAGTTCGATTCCTGGTACCAGAAGAAAAACAAACAAACAAGAACAACTATAACAAGACAGATGTCCGTAGTGGTGCGACTTTGCCACTTTTTTAAAAAATGGAGATGCGCCTCAACCATCTCAGTGGGCTGATCAGTTGCTTGTGATAGTGGCTAGGTCTCCTTAGGGGATATCCATGGAGTGAAAGTGCTGCCTTACCCTGATTGAGTGCTGGCTTGTTCCTCAGTGATGTGGACTGACTAGTTTTGGATGCCAAGGGAAGGAAGACATCCAGGAACCCCTGCAGAGGTGCTCAGGGCAGAAATGATACAGGGAGAGAATCCCACACCTCTTAACCACCTGGCTGTCAGTGCCAGACAAGCAAGATCTGGATCTAATTTTAATGCATTTCAATTTACTTTAATTCTTTTTAACCCAATACAGCCGGGTGTGGTGGCACACACTTGTAATCCCAACACTCGGGAGGCTGAGGCAGGAGGATTGTTGCGAGTTCAAGATGAACCTGGGCTACAAAGTGAGCTCAAGGACAGCCTGAACTGTACAGTGAGACCCTATCTCAAAAAGACAAAAAAAAATATTCAATACAGTATTCATTTCAATTCACTGTATTCTTTTGTTTCTTCTCTCAGTCATGTTTTACGTTCAGTGTAGAGTCCAGGCACATGATTCTTTTTGTTTGTTTGTTTGTTTTTTTTTTTGGTATCAGGAATCGAACTCAGGACCTAGCACTTGCCAGGCAGGCGCTGTGCCACTGAGCTATATCCCCGGCAGGCACATGACGACTAGAGCTGACATTTATTAAGCATTTACCCTCTGCCAGATCCTATTCCAAATGTTTCACAATGAGATCTCACAGCAACAGTGTAAGATAGGCTTCATTAGCACCTCTGTTTTTCACATCAGGAAACTAGAGATTTGCCCAAGGTCACTCAGCTAACAATAGAAGAGCCATCTTAGACATCTTGGTTTTCCTTTTTTTTTTTTTTTTTTCTTTTTGAGACAGGGTCTTACTATGCAGTTCAGGCTGACCTTGAGCTCACTTTGTAACCCAGGCTGGCCTCGAACTCACAATGAATCCTCCTGCCTCAGCCTCCCAAGTGCTGGGATTACAGGCATGCGCCACCACACCTGGCAAAGTTCCTGTGTTAACCTCAAATACTACTGCATTAATATCTTGTACATTAAGCTGGGCATCACCACTATAGGGCATGCCTATAGTTCAAGCAACTTGGGAGGCTAAGGCAGAAGCTCCCCGGAGCCCAGAAGTTCAGGGCCAACCTGGGCAACATAATGAGACCCCACCTAAAAAAAAAGAAAAGAATATACAGAACATTTTAATACATATAAATTAAAAAGTTTAAAGGAGATCAAAATGAAATATGTATTTTCAAACTACTAATCATGACAGTGCTGGTCAATCTCCAGCAGACTCCATTGTTACCACTGATGATAGTGGATGCAAATCCATTCCTCAGCGTCTTCTTGATCCTTTCAAATAGCCTTGGTTGACTTCTGGTCAGGTCTGACTGGGCTGACATTTTTTAACCTAGACTATGACTGGCAAAGGGTTTGCACAGGAGAAGCATGGCTCTCCCTTCTTCTTGTTTTATTTTGTTTTGTTTTTTGCCTTTTTGAGACAGGGTCTTGCTATGCAGTTCAGGCTGGCTTTGAGCTCACTTTGTAGCCCAGACTGGTCTCGAACTTGCAACGATCCTCCTGCCTCAGCCTCCCGAGTGCTGGAATTACAGGTGTGCGCCACCACGCCCAGCCCCTCTTCTTATTTTCACATGGCTGCCATTATTGTCCTGCCTCCACTCTGTATTTCTCTGAAGTTGTTTAAGACCTCTGTCTTTTTAGTGAAGGTAAGTTAAATCAAACTGAGGTAACTTAATATGTCAATCCAGTTCATGTAAATGACAACAAATTATTCAAGCCTGCCAATTCTAAGGAGACATTTTGGAGACAATCAGGAAATTTGAATATAGCACGAATATTGTATGAGGTACAGGAATAGTTGCTAATTCTGTTGGGCATGATGAAAGTGTAGTGGCTTTTTAAAGGCTCTATCAGTTACAGAAGCATATTGAAATTGCTCTATATCAAAGGTTTGCTTTGTGCCAGAGGAAAAATAAAAAGTAGAGAAAGATAATAAAAAGAAGTTTTGTTCTACAGTGGAAATGGGTACATGGGCCACTATGGTGTTTTCTCTATGTTTAAAATTTTTTGTAATAGTCAAATTAAAAAAAAAAACAACACTTGCCATTCATTGCTACATGAAGCCAGGCATGGTGGTACACGCCTGTAATCCCAGCAGTTGGGAGGCTGAGGCAGGAGGATTGAGGCCAGCCTGGGCTACAGAGTGAGCTCAAGGCCAGCCTGAACTGAGACCCTGTCTCAAAAAAAGACACCCCCAAAATCACTGCTACATGATAACTAGGAAGAAACAGTGATCCAATATCCCCCACTGCCATGCCCCGACCTTCAAAGCTAAGAGACTTGAGATTGGCATTCTGAACGAGTGAGTGCAGGGAAGTTTCTGGATAGATTTGAATATTAAATAATTCCGGAGTTGCAGACCTCACAAGCACCTTTAGAATAGCCCGGATCTGTAGTTCCCAAAGTGTGGTCCCTAGACCAGTTGCCTCTGCATCCCCTGGGAACTTATTGGAAATGCAGTTTAGGGTTAGGGTGACCGTTATGATTACCGGGAACTTATTGGGTCCAGATAGGGTCCAGCAATATGTGCTTTAAAGAGCCCTCTGAGTGACTCTTCTTTTTTTGGTACCAGGAATTGAACTCAGGACCTTGTGCTTGCCAGTGGGTACTCTACTATTGAGCTATATCCCTGGCCCCCTCTGCGTGATTTTAATGCACACAAAAGTGAGAACTACTGGAGCTAGACTGATTTACTTTAAATCAAGGTCCTGTGTTATAGACACCACCTGGTGCTGGCTCCACTCCTCAGAGGCAGGGGAAGGGATACAGGAAGACAAAGGAGTACTGGGGATGGTAGCATATGCCTGGCCTGGCCTGTAGTCCTAGCACTCGGGAGGCTGAGGGAGGAGGATTGCCGTGAGTTTGAGGCCAGCTTGGGCAACATGAGTTCAAGGCCAGCCTTAGCAACATAGTGAGTTCAAGGCCAGCCTGCACTACATAGTAAGACCATCTCAAAAAAAAAAAAAAAAAAAAAAAAAAAAAGGATTTCCAAAGGATGAGTAAATACTCCCACATCTCAACTTTGGGCTGCCCCTTTGGGAAACGAAATCTTTTTCTTTTCCCAGGCTGCTGCTGGGTGAGAGTGAGTGGGAATAGTGGGGGAGGAAGGCAGCATGGGGCTCCCTGGATGGTCTCCAGGCTGCGGAGGGCGCCAGTATGCAGTGGGGAGCTTAGGGTGCGGGCCCAGCTCAAAGCCTGGGGCTTCAGAGATCCTGGTGCTCAAATTTCTGTAGGCCAGGGGTGTGGCCAGAGTGGGTGGGGCAGATGTAGAATCCCTGCGGGCAGCAGGCCAGAGTGGGTAGCTGCTCCTGTGGATGGACGTGAAGGGCTGAACAGCAGTTATCCAAAAGAACTCTTTGCAAGTGAATATCTGACCTGGACAGGAGACTGTCTCACCCAAAGTCAGCTCCTAAGGGGCAGTAGTTCCTGACACTATCTACCCCAGGTTGGGCAAAGTGATTTGCACAAGCCGGCAATGCCCACAGCAATCCTCTGAGCAGTTGCTGTGTTTCATACCCACTGTACAAATCGGAAAGCTAGGACAGCGAAATACAGCCAGGCTGTGAAGCTTGACTCTCTAACTCAGAGGCCTCCACCCTCCTATTGCACTATATGTGCTGCATCACATAAGCCCAGAGAGTCAGAATTCGAATCCTCCTGCCACGATTTACCAGCTGTGGGGCCTGGGTGAGTATAGCAGCTCTCTATGCCTCCCTTGCTCCGCGTGTAAAACAGGGACAGTAGATGCACCCAGCGCACGAGCTGCTGTGGATAGAGGCTGTGAGTAGAGGTGCCCTCGGTGCTCCTGCTGTTCCCTTGGTGCTAACGATGGCCACCTCTCCCCGCTGCGCTCCCACGTTAGACCTTCTGACTCCAAGTCATGGGCCTTTCACGCACTTCTCCTGAACGCCTGGCTTAGACTGTGAAGTTCCTGTCTTGGCCCAGTCCTTGGGGGCCCCTACAGCCCCTGCAGTCCTTATCACCCCCAAACACCTTCCAGTCCCCTTGCTTATCAGACCAGAGGCCAGCAGCTGATGGGGCTGCAGAGCAGTGTGGGAGGCCGACGGCCAGGGAGTGAGGTGTGAGAAGAAAGCAGCTGGGCCTTAGAGCCCCAAGAGGCTGAGACCGGAAGTGAGAGGAGGCAGCAGGCAGGAAAAGAGGGGTCCTGAAACCAAATGTTGCTTACCGAACAGTTGGGTGCATGGGTTCAGTCGACAACTCCTAGAAACTGCTGCCCTAATCTCATCTTATTGCCTGGGGTGTGGTTCCTCCCACAGACACCATGGGGCCTTGGGAAGAAGGCCATGGGCTCCAACACCCAGCATCAGGGCAGCAGCTGGGCTCACAGAGGACTTCCTTACCCTCTTCACCATCCTCTGACTTTTTTTTGGTACCGGGAGTTGAACTCAGGACCTTGCACTTGCTAGGCAGGCGCTGTGCCACTGAGCGGTATCCCCAGCCCTATCCTCTGACTTTTTAACCTTTAGAGCCACCTCTGCCCTCGTCACTCTTTTCTCCCCACCCTTCCCTTCCCCTTCTTCAAAACATTCCAGAGCTGTAAGGGCCCAGAGAACATCAAGCCCAACTCCTATGGAAACTGAGGGCCGGAGAGGGCAAGAGACTTTGCCAATGTCCTTTACCACTGTGAGGTTTAAAAAAACAAAAAAAGCAAGAGCCAGGTGTGGTGACGCATGCCTATAATCCCAGCTCTTAGGAAACTGAGGTAGAAAGATTGCCGCAAGTTTGAGGCTAGGTGGGGCTACATAACAAGACTTTGTCTCAAAAACAAATAAACAAAAATAAAACAAAAAAGCTAGAGATAGCCTGGCCTGGTAGAAGGGCACTGTACCAGGAGCTCAGAGCTGGGTTCCACTGCAGGTGTTAGATGCGGGTGAGAAAAGCGTGGACTCTCTCTGGTCCTCTTTGGTAAAATGGGAGGAAAATGGAGGACTTTCCCTGCCCATGGAATCTTCAGTACATCTGGACCCTTTGCATGTGGCATTGCTACAAAATGGTAGATGAGTTTTGTTTAACTGGAGTGTCTCACAAAAGAGTGAATATGAGCCGGGCATGATGGCGCACATCTGTAGTCCCAGCACTTGGGAGGCTGAGGCAGGAGGATTGTTGTGAGTTTGAGACCAGCCTGGGGTATAAAGTGAGCTCAAGGCCAGCCTGAACTGCATAGAGAGACCCTGTCTCAAAAAGACAACAAAAAAAAAAAAGAGTGAATATGGATATCTGAACAGGGCTGTGTAGTTTCCAATGGGCCACAGGCCTCACCACTCCCAAATGTGCACTGCATACCCACATTTCCTTCATACCCACATTTCCTGCTTGACTCCTGTGGACATTTGAACAACCCCAAGAGGAACCCCTCTGCAGGGTGCCCTGCCCACCCTCAGCCCAGCTGCATTGGCAAGAGGATGCAAGCAGGAGATGAACAGTCCCTGCACCTCACCACCACCAGCCCCGTGCCAGGGGAGAAGGTGCAGAGAGCAAATCCTCCCTAATCCCCACTTCTCACCCACTCCCCAAGTCCTCAGATCGCATGGCAGGGAGGGGTATGTGCTTGTTGCCTGGGGGCCTCCTGTTTCCCAGTGTTGTCGGGTTGACTGGGGAACAGCGACACTCACACAGGTCCTGCGTGCCAGGCTCTGGGTGTGTGTATTCTTCAATGGATGTGACTTTGAGGGACCATGTTAATCAAGGAGCTGTCTGTGACTCTGGAGAGTTTCAGTAATAGGAGCTTTCTGGCTGTTAGCCGAGCTGGGCCTGGAGATCAGAGGCAGCAGGCAGGCAAGTTCGTAGGGAGGTGCTTATCATTATGATGATGAAGAGTGTTTTACCGAATGTCCTTCACATGCCGGGCCCTGCACCAAACACTTGACCAAAACAGTATTTTTAAGCTGGGTGTGGTGGTGCGCAGGAGGATCATCGCGAGTTTGAGACCAGCCTGGGCTGCAAAGTGAGCTCAAGGCCAGTCTGAACTGCATAGCGAGACACTGTCTCAAAAAGACAAAAACAAACAAACAAATAAATCAGTATTGTTATCAGCTCTCCCAGGCTCTCTGGTTAATTGCCCCTGTTTAGCTGATGAGGAAAGTAAAAAACATACAAGGCTACGAGGTGGAAACATACAAATAGATGATTTTAAAGGTCCAAAATGGCCACCTGTCAGCAGTTTAACAAAGTATAACCTAAAAGGAAATTACAGAATGGTGATCAAACAGAACTGTCTGAACTTGAGGTCCATGCTTTAAAAAGAAAGTTGTTTAATATCTATATACTAGTTGCAGAAAATTTAAACACTGACAAGAAAAGAAAGTAAAATTCTCTCAAATCCAGAGACAATATCTAAGAGAAGAAAAAAAAGGGGTTGGGGATATAGCTCAGCAGCACAGTGCCTACCTCGCAAGCGCAAGGTCGTAAATTTGATTCCTGGTACCAAAAAACACATACGTCTCTTGGAAGCCGGGCGTGGTGGCACATGCGTGTAATCCCAGCACTCGGGAGGCTGAGGCAGGAGGATCGTTGCAAGTTCGAGACCAGCCTGGGCTACAAAGTGAGCTCAAGGCCAGCCTGAACTGCATAGTGAGACCCTGTCTCAAAAAAAAGACAAAAACAAAACCAAAACAAAACAACAACAACAAAAAACTAAGACGTCTCTTGGGCATTCATATGAATGAAAATAATTGTTGCTTCTTGATAAAATGACCTTTACTCTTTTGAGCCACTATATGCTTTGTACCATTTGACTCTGGCAGCCTGATGAAGGGGTGTGATTAATTTTCCCATTCAACGGAGGCAAACAGGAGCAAGGCAGACGGAGAGAGTGTGGTAAAAGTAAAGCCTCAGGCCCCGCGAGACTATATAGGTTAGAATCCCGGCCCTAGCCATGCATGGTGGTGCATGCCTACAATCCCAGCACTCTGGGAGACTGAGACAGGAGGATCACAGGTTCTAACCCAGCCTGGGCAATTTAGCAATTGAACACAACCATATCTCAAAGTAAAAATGAAAAAAAAAAAAAAGAAAAGAAAGAAAGAAAGAACAGCTACAGGTACACTTCAGTGCGAAGGCCCTGGGTTCAATCTATGGTAACTCCCCGCCGCACATAGAAAAATACTGGCTCTACCAACTAGGCCAAGTTACTTAGTCCTCTATGCCTTAGTTTTCACATCTGTAAGATAGTGATGGTCACTGGACCTGCCTCAAAAGGTGATTGTGAGGACCTAGGAAGGTGGTCTGGGTAAAGTGATTAAAACACCGTCTGTGTATGGTACACGCTTAATGAAGCTAGGCTGTTATTAAAGCTCAGGAGGGTTGAATGTTAGATCAAGACCACACCACTAGTGCCCTCATCTGAATCCATGTTTGTTCATTAGTGAGCAGATGCTGCTAAGCATTTCTCAAAACCGGAGTCAAGCCAAAGTAGTGCTCTTCTTTCCCTTCTGCTGGGCTCTCCCTGCCATCAGGTATGACTTTTCCACTCGCCTGCCTCAGCAGTCCCTGCTCGGGCTCTGAGGCCAGGAAAAGTGAGGGCAACCCAGGTGACCCTGGTGTGTTCTGCTGGTCCACCAGATCCCTCACAACAAGTGGTGAAGGGCGAGAGCTGTTTTCTGCCAACAGGAGCTGTAGGCTGCCTCTGCCTCCTCCTTTCTCTGTGGCCTGGGCCAGGTCACTCAGCTGGTATGGCTTTATTTCCTCCACAGCATGACCAGGGGTTTGAACCTGATCCCCAGTCACAGTCCGCAATTACCTCTCCCGAGTGGCAACTACGTGTTAAGCACAGATCCCGATGCCCTGCATGGCGTTGTGCTTATTAATAACAATAATTGCTGCATTTCCTGAGCACTTGCAATGGGCCAGGCCTTGCCTGAAGTGCTTAGCCAGCATGATTAGCTCACCTCATTCTCACCTCAAGCCTCTGGTATGGGTGTGTTATCCTCATTGGTCAGGAGAAAAAAACGAGCCCCCAAGAGGCAAAGCGCCTTGACCGAGTACCTTGCATGACCTCGAATATCCCTCCCAGCGGCCGCTCTGTGAATTCTCATTTCATATTCCCTCTGTCTTGTCTGCTTCCTCCTGTTCTTCACCCTTCCTCTCCCGAGCAGTCCTCCAGGATTTTACCATCGCCGCGGCCCTTGGCTTGGGCTTCCTCACTTCCTATTGGCGGAGACATAGCTGGAGCAGCGTGGCCTTCAACCTCTTCATGCTGGCCCTTGGTGTGCAGTGGGCAGTCCTGCTGGATGGCTTCCTGAGCCAACCCTTCCCCAGGAAGGTGACCATCAACCTGTCCAGGTGAGCAATGGCAGTTGGGTTGCTTTGAGCCATTGAGGACATGGGGTCCATGAGGTTCCAAAAGAGTTGGGATTATCGTCCTCTCTTACTAGTACCTATGCCGTATAATATTTAGGACATGCTTGTTTTAAAAGATTATTCATTATTTTCTAATCGCCAAATTTAACTGGGCATCTCATATTTTATCTGACACTTCACCTGGAGGCTTCCAGGTCTCTGGCTCTCTCTACCTTTTTTCTTATTTTTTATTTGTTATTATTTTGGTAAAGCTATGCAATCAACATAGATTTGTATAAAGTTAAGAAAGAGCTGAGTGTAGTGGGTTATGCTTGTAATCCCAACTACTCCGGAGGCTGAGAGAGAGGATCTTGGTTTGAGGCCAGCCTGGGGAGCTTGGCAAGGCTCTGTCTCAAAATAGAAAGAGTTGCCAGACGTGGTGGCGCATGCCTGTAATCCCAGCACTTGGGAGGCTGAGGCAGGAGGATCACTGCAAGTTCGAGACCAGCCTGGGCTACAAGTGAGCTCAAGGCCAGCCTGAACTGCATAGCAAGACCCTGTTTCAAAAAGACAAAAAAACCCAAAACAAAACAAAAAATAAACTAGCTTTGGTCCATTTAGATGCTTTTATAGGTGATGCTACAAAGCAGCAAAACTAAACCACACCATGGTACTAGAAGTCAGAATAGCAGTTACCTGGGTAATGAGTGGGTACTGATTAGGAAGAGGTATGACGTGGCCTGTGGGGTCAGTAAATGTTCCCTGGGCTACTCTGAGTGATGATCATTCTGCACACTTTAGAAGGTATTAGCATTTGATAGGAGGAACTAAGTAATATTTCATCTTAAGAACTTTTATCCAACTTTGAATTTCTGTTCTGCCCAGACAGTGGTAATCCCCAAAGCCTCTGAAAAACTGCTATTGAACAGCTCTCTGTGAGCCAGGCACTGTACTATCAACCTCACAGATATTTTAACTCTTCCAGGTAGGGAATACTCAAATATAAGTAAGAAATATATTACTCAAATATATTACTCAAATATAAGTAAGAAAATGAAGGCTCAGAGAGGGAAAGGCACTTGACCAAAGTCACACAGCTAAGTGCTAGAGATACCTTTTAACTCTCTGTAACCTTTCCCACACACTTCAGAGTGGTCATGAAATGAAACACAGTCTCATCAGCTTCTCAGTGGCTGGCCTTGGGGGAACTCCTCACATTTTTCCTTTTTAAAACTTTTACAGCTAAGCCTTACAGGGGTTGAATAACCCCTGGTATTCACCTAGGAAGTGACAGAGGGGACGCTGGAGGAACTCTGCCAGTCGTGGCCTGGCTTGGTGTTCTGAGGCCTTGGTGTAAGGTCACACAAGCCGGCCGGCCACGCAGGAGGCGCAGCAGGGCTGCTCCCTCCTGACGCGCACAAGGACCTGTTGGCTTCTGACTCAGTCTGGGGAAACAAGAAGGCGCCCCTAGCAGTCCCAGCGAGCTCCCCTGCCCCACCCTGGCCACCTGGGTCCTCCCGGCTGTGACAACCCCCTCCCGGTGACTTTCCAGACTTAAACAATGGTCTCCCTCTTGACTGACAGGCTGGGCCGATGGGTGGCACCCAGGCCTCGTCTCTTCCTGGCTCACTCGAAACTGTGCCACTTGACCTGGCACGGAATTGCCTCTGCCTCGAGTTCCTGCGGGCCAGGCGTCTCTCTGACAGAGCTTTGTCCTTGTGTCCTCACAACGGAAGAATTTAGTAAATGATTATTGAAACAAAAAGTGAAAGCCAGAGGCACTCTAAGTGAATTTTATTTTATTTTATTTATTTTTTTGCAGGCTGGGGAATTAGCTGAGGCCTTACACATGCTAGGCCAGCACTGCACTAGAGAGCTGCAGCCTCCGCCCCGAGCGATAATTTTAAATTTGATTTTGAAAAGTTCCAGAGGGCTCTGTCTAGACAAAGGTAGCAGTAACCGACCCCCCCATTGCACTTAACATGTAGTGACTCGTTTTGCCCTTACAACAGCTCCAGAGGCATCACTCCACCTCCTAGGCACTGAGGCACAGAGTGGTTAAGTAATTTACCCAAGATCACACAGCCGGGAACTGGCTGAGTCACACCTTCATCGCTGGCAGTCTGTGTTCCTATCCACCGTACCTCACAGTCTCCACACCTGCCTGTCACCACCAGCCCCTGCGGTGTGACATAGCACTTTAACTCAGGTCCTTTAGAGCTAAGCTTTTGCCGATGGAGTGAGCACGCCCTTAAGAGACACAGCCTGTGCGACTTGATGAGCTGTGGAAATAACCCTTATTCTGAGTAACTCCTGGTCCCTGCGAGACCTGTCCCCACGCCCTCTGCCCTTTCTGACCTTCCCCCAGAAGTCCTTGAGTTTGACACAGGGACTGTTTGGGCAACAAACACCAGGGAGACTGTGTCTCAATGTCAGAGCACAGGGCTGGGATCAAGGCCAACTGAGTTCGAACCTCTCGTTTGTCGTCAGCTGGCAGCGTGGTCATACCCACACTGTCAATTTTTCTTTCTTTTTTTTTTTGTCTTTTTGAGACAGGGTCTCCCTATGCAGTTCAGGGTGGCCTTGAGCTCACTTTGTAGCCCGGGCTTGTCTTGAACTCGCAATAATCCTCCTGCCTCAGCCTCCCAAGTGCTGGGATTACAGGCATGCGCCACCATGTCCGGCCCTGTCAGTTTTTCTGGATTCAGCTTTTTCTTCTGCAAAAGTGGGTGCTGCGTGGTAACCCTGCACCGCTTCACAGAGGGTTTCTTAGAGCTTCAGCATTTGAGTGAGGTGCTGTACTTACAAGCCTGTTGTATGTGGCTTTGGTCATAGGTACTGTGGCCGTCACAGCAGCATCGTGAACTCCCAGATGCTCAAGGGGAAGTGGAGTGTCCAGCACAGGGCCACCTCCTCAGGGAAGTCCGATGAGTCCAGTTGGCACCTCTGTCTCATTCCAGGGAACCCCTGCAGCCTTGTGACAGCACAGACATTCTGACTTAACAGGCTATGGCAGAGAAGCCCTAGCTCCCCAGATGTCAGCCAGAAAGGGTTTTCTCAGCCAGGTGTACTGGTGCACACCTGCAATAGCACTTGGGAGGCTGAGGCAGCAGGGTCACTAGTTCAGAGCCAACCTGAGCTACACAGCAATTTTAAAGCCACTGTGGACTACATAGCAAGACCCTGTCTCAAAAGAAAAAAGAAAAATAAATAAAAGGTTTTCTCGCACTGAATCCCCTGAATCCCCACACTGAAAACGCTCCATGCTCATGTGTCAGGGGAAGAAAGGGACCAGTGATAGTGTTCGCGATGACAGCTTCTATTCATGACGGGCTCGTCATGCCTGTTTTGGTACTAAATACACATATTCAGAGACTGTTCCTTCGAATCCCCACCCACCACCATGAGATAAGCAGGCTTATCGTTCTTGTTTTGCAGAAGGAGAAACAGGCATGGTGAGATTAAATAGCTGCTCAGGGGGCAGAGCCGGGAGAGGAAGGCAGGCTTGTACTTTTCCAAACCTGTCTCCCTCCAGCACCAGGAGAGGGAGGGAAGGTGAGGCGCCCAGCGAGCCAGTGGCAGGCAGGCTGGCAGGTACAGAGCGCCCTCTACTGAGCACTGTGAGCAGTGAGGACAGATAACAAGGGCAGTGGACCGAGTCTCGGGTGTCAGACCCCAGGAGACCTTACCTCCCTGACGAATGTGTGAAAGCCTCGGTGCGGCCTCAGTAGGATGAGTGTGTGCAAAGCTGTATCTCAGAGCACAGACGCCACCCTGGTATGGGACAGAGTGAAGGCTACTCAGGACTGCAGAACAGCCCTCCTAGGGGTAGAAACCCAGTCCTTTTGTCCTTCGGGCCTTCAGCAGGGCCAGGTAGAAGATGTTGGTGGGAGGAGCAAGTGAATGAATGAAAGGCGTCCTATCTCCTGGTCACCTGGCTCTCCTTCTCTCTGCCAGTATCCGGCTGGCCACCATGAGCGCCATGTCAGTGCTGATCTCGGCGGGCACCATTCTGGGGAGGGCCAACTTGGTGCAGCTGTCAGTGATGGTGCTGGTGGAGGTGACAGCCTTTGGTGCCATGAGACTGACCTACAAGCAAGTCTTCAATGTAAGTCGTGGGAGACTTGGAGGGGGGACGTGGAGAGGAGGGGTGAGAAGCAGGGAGAGTGGGTGCCCACTGCTTCCTTTGGGTGAAGATTTAGGGTTATAAAAACAAAGACAAACCGGGCGTGGTGGTGCGCACCTGTAATCCCAGCACTCGGGAGGCTGAGGCAGGAGGATCATTGTGAGTTCGAGACCAGCCTGGGCTACAAAGTGAGCTCAAGGCCAGCCTGAGCTGCATAGTGAGATCCTGTCTCAAAAAGACAAAAAAGAAAAGAAAAGGAAAAAAAAAGAAGACAGAGGCATGAGACAGGAGGATCATAGTGAGCTCAAGGCCAGCCTGGTCTACATAGTGAGACTCTTGTCTCAAGACGAAACAAAGACAGGTCCAAATGGGGTTGGGAAAAGGTAGTCTATGCTGAATATTGATTCTCACTTCCAAAATATGAGCCTATGGGACTGTGCTAGTCACAAGGTAATTATGGTGTGTATAAACAGCATGAAAAGGATGAGTTCCCAGAGCCCCATTGGCAGTGGTGCCAGCAAGTTGCTTAGAGCATCTTCTTTTATTTTTTTATTTTGCTTTTGCCTTTTTTTTTTTTTTTTTTTTTGAGACAAGGTCTCACTATGCCGTTCAGGCTGGCCTTGAGCTCACTTTGTAGCCCAGGCTGGTCTCGAACTCACAACGATCCTCCTGCCTCAGCCTCCCGAGTGCTGGGTTTACAGGCGTGTGCCACCAAGCCTGGCTGGACATCTTCTTTTAAACCAGTCTCTGTGTGTCAGTAGTGACTTCTGTGATCTTCAGTGGAAGATACAGTCAAAAGACTAAGCTTGAATGGGCTTGGTGGCAGATCCCAGTTATTCAGGCTAAGGCAGGAGGATTCCAAGTCTGAGCCCAGCCTGGGGATTTAGCAAAATCCTGTCTCCAACTCACACAGCAGGATCGCAGCAGAGCCCATTCGAGATCACAGTACCCTATCCTGCCTTAGGAGAAAGAGCACTGGAGTTGGTATTAAAGACTGAGGTTTGAGGCTGGGGAATGAGGTCAGCGGCACAGCACCTGCCCAGTAAATGCAAGGTCGTGAGTTCAATTCCCAGTACCGGGGGAAAAACAAAAACAAAAACAAAGACTGAGGTTTGTATCCTAGCTCTGTCCCCCACAGAGTCCCTGAGGGGGCATTGTAACTTCTTGGAGCCTCAACCTTTTCATCTGAGGTAACATTAGGACCTCACAGGGTTTGGGGAAGTAATTTGATTAATTCAGTGAGATGATGCCTGCATTCAAACTGAACAAGGCATGAGGCCTCTGCTATTAACTGACACCCCGAATAAGGACTTTGGATTTTACCATGAAAAATCCAAGCTTTGGGGTTTTGAGCAGAGGAGAGATGTGCTGTGATGTCACGTGATCTGCAGTTTAAAAAGAAATATGCTGGCTGCTGGGGGAGAGGGAAGGAAGGGTGAGGTATTGGAGACTTGAGACTGGGCACTGAATGAGCCACACTTGGGTGGGATGTCAGCTGGGGGCTGGGGGAAGTGGCTAGGTTCTGTGTTTTGAAGGCAAGATCAACAGATTTGCCAGTAGATTTCACAAGGGGAGTGAGAGAAAGAAAAAGGTCAAAAAAGACTCCAAGGTTTTGATGGGGAGCAACTGTATGGATGGTAGTGCTGCTTACTGAGGTAGAGCGTTTGGGGGCAGACTACAAAGTGTGATCAGAAAGTATTAGTGCTTTGTTTTTGTTTTATTTATTTATTATTTTTGGTACGGGGAATTGAACTCAGGACCTTATGCTTGCCAGGCAGGTGCTTATGCCACTGAGCAATATTGCCAGCCCCAAGATTGGAAAGTACAATGAATGTTTAAGTTTTTAAAAATTCAGTGCCACCTGGGTGTGATGGTGCATGCCTGTAATCCCAGCACTCAGGAGGCTGAGGCAGAAGGATTGTTGCAAGTTCGAGGCCAGCCTGGGCTACAAAGTGAGCTCAAGGCCAGCCTGAAATGCATAGCGAGACTCTGTCTCAAAAAGACAAAAAAAAAAAAAAAAAAAAAATTCAATGCCACTAGTCCCCCTCAAATTACTCCTCCTCACATCACACTTATCCTGTTGTTCTGCCGCCTTCCAAAGTGGCTCCGGAAGTCCTTTACTGTATCTTTAGTTGCACTGCCATGGCTGTCTTGATGACCTGAATCAATTCAAAATGTTGGCCTTTGGGTTTTGTTTTTTTTTTTTTTGTCTTTCTGATACAGGCAATTTAGGCTGGTCTTGAACTCACTTTGCAGCCCAGGCTGGTCTCAAACTCATAGCAATCCTCCCGCCTTTAGCCTCCCGAGTGCTGGGATTACAGGCGTGCGCCACCACACCCAGCTAAAATGTTGACCTTTATTGTCATTGTGACTTTGGGAAAGAGCCAGAAGTCACATGTTGCCAGATCCAGTTAACGACAGGGGTGAGGACACATTCACGTTTTTTACCATCCTACCTTTCTAGTGGGTGGCACTAGGCAGCTGCATTCACGGTATTTTTTTATCACGCCTCCTAACGACACTCAGAAACAGTGGGATAAGTGTGTTCAAAGTGGGGAGGGAGTATTTTGAGGAGGAATTAATGACAATGTAATTTTTACTATAATAATTTTTAAAATTTATATATTCACTATATGTTTCAATCCCACCTTATAGAGCTGGGAGGAAAAATCCAGGAGTCAGTTTTGAATATGGAGTGTTTGGGGTCCCGATGGGTACTGATTGACCATCACCTCCGTGGAGACACTAAAGGGAAGGTCCAAATTTGAGGCTTAGTGGAAAGACAGGGCTGGGCGATACAGTGGGAGTTTTTCAGGCAAGGATGGTGTTCGAAACCATGCAACTGGAGAAGATCACCCAGGGAGTGAAGGTAAAGAGAGGTATGCAGAGGTCTGGACACCAAAGTCTACAGCACTACAAAATTGTAGATGAGGTTGGGCGTGGTGGCACACACCTGTAATCCCAGCACTCAGGAGGCTGAGGCAGGAGGATCGGTGTGAGTTCGAGGCCAGCCTGGGCTACAAAGTGAGCTCAAGTCCAGCCTCAACTGCATAGCGAGACCCTGTCTCAAAAAGACCAAAAAGAAAAAAGAAAAAAACCCACGAAACTTTGAGTTAGAGAAAGGGGGGAAGTTTCTAGGCCTGATGCCTTTGAGAGGGGAGGGAGGGCAGAGGTTGGGTGGGCTGGTGGGATCAGTGGCGGGCATCACAGGTCCATCCTCTTGCAGGGAAAAGATTCCCCACTTAAGCCTTGTATTTTCTTGGAGAAACACAAGGCTGAGTCGGGAGCCTTAGCGAGGGCCGAGGGGGTGAGAAATGGAAAACAGTAGCAGTGGAAGAGAGTGAGCAGACCGGAGAGGCACAGTGGGCTGCAGGCTGGCATCGGGCCTCCTGGGGCTTGAGGTCATGTAGATGCAGGATGTACACCAGCACCCAGGAAGAAGCAGAGGGGTGAATGTGCCCAGCCTGGGGCATTGCTGTTGCAGAGACCCAAGGGGCTGTCTGTGAGGGGGAAGATCTAACAGCGAGCCATGGAATCAGAAGGAGTGGGAATGCGACAATGGACGGTAAGAATGGGAACTTCCTTCCGATTCTGTGTCAGTTATCCTGGTTCACATCTCGGCTCAACCTGCAACAGCTGAGTCGACTCAGGCACCTTAGTTAACCTCTCTGTACTTCAATTTCCTATCAGCAGAATGGAGATAATAATGATATCCATACATAGATCTGTCATGAGGATTCAATAGGTGGATAAAGCATTGGAGGCAGTGCCCAGCACGGGGTGCATGCCATGCAAGTGCCACGTTTTCCACCCTTTGCGTGAACATCAGGCTCAGTTGATTGGTGTTGAAGTGGGGACACAAGGAAGTGAGCTGGACAGATAGGACCTGGCGCTTGTTACCTGGTGGTATTTTGGAGGTGGCCCATTTACTGGTATGACAGGTCTAAGGTTTGATGACAGATGTTGGTGGTAGAACTATAATGTAGGAGAGAGGATCAAGGAACAGGGAGGGACGGGGCTGGACAGACCAACAGCAGGCCTCAGAAAAGCGATGGAGAGAGGCCGAGGGCAGCTGCTGACATCTTTGAAACCAAGAAGCAGCCAGGTCAGTGCAGTCAGGGCAGCTGTGATGGTGGGTTCTTCAAGGTGCCTGGAGATACTCGGAGAGATGATAAGAGATCTGTATATTGGGCTTTCCTTTAGCCTCTAAATATTTCCTAGAAACTGTCATTCGCTTATATAAGCATTATTCATTTAAAAAATGAAGAAATTAACAATGAGACAATATTATTACCATATTCAAATTCCACTTGCTGTTCTAATAATGTCCTGTCTGGCAGGATTCTGGTCCTGAGTAACCCTTTGCATTAATTTTCAAGTCTTTAAACTCCACCCATCTGGACCAGTTTGTTAGCTCTCTTATCTTTCACGGCCTTGACAGCTTTTGAAATTACAAGCCAGATGTCTTGTAGCATGCGGTCTTGTCTACCATTGCCTCATGCTTAGATCAAGGATGTCTATTTGGGGCAGGAATTCCACAAAAGTAGTGCATGTCCTTCTAGTACAGTACATCCCGTCAGGAGACATGTTGTCACTTTGTCTCCTGACTGAGCATAACTTAATCACTTGGTTAGGGTGACTCTGCCAGGATCTTTCTGTTATAAAGTTTTTATTTTCCCTTTTGTGATTAATCAAAATCTTGTGGGAAGATAACTTCCTAAAATATCTTATTTCTCATCAAACTTTCACCCACTGGTTTAGCATCCATTGATTTTTGCTCAAATCAATCAGTATTATGACTGTAGCCAGTATCGATTTTCAAATTCTGTCTTCCCTTTTGTAACCATTAGCTGGCATTCTTCTGGAAGGAAGAGCTTTCTCTTCTCCGTTCCTTCATTCATCTCTTTGTTTATTTATATCACCATAGGCTCATAGATTCATGTAGGCACACTTTCCTTTTCTGCTTTTCTCTCTGCTTTTTG